ACCAATCGGAAAAAAGGATGATACATCCACACACACACACACACACATGCATCACAAAAACACAAGCAGGAGAAACTTCAAATTACTCGTTTTTCAAAATTCTTTTTTTCCGCGTCAAACCTATAGTTGATGCAAAAATCGGACGGATTTGCATAGAAATGGAACTTGCGAGGATCGAGAGGCGCTCGCGTACTTAAAACGCAACCCGCTGCTCATCCCATTAATAATCCATTCCCTGAAAAGAAAACTCCGTTCATAAATGTATATACTGTATAGGCTCCTGCTGAAACACGCTGCTACACATAAATTGGCGCGAGAGGAATTGAAAAAAAAAAAGAAGGAAAAAACAGGAATTCGTATCGTCGGCAACACTGATGAAACACAATTTTTCTGGCGGGCCGAGCAGGAATGAAAAGGCTCACTCAGCCGTCCTGGAAAGTGGGTAGAGGTTGAGAAGTGCTTGGCCCCGTCGGTCCCAAGGATTCAATCAAGTCACAGCTCAGCTTTCCAGGGGAAAGATGGGGAAGAAGTGTCTCTGAAAAGGCTCTTCTTCGAGTCAGGATATATATATATATATGACAGTATATACTGTATATGTATGTATATTTATATATATATTGGAGGATCCGGAGTTTCATCACGATGAGTCAACCGAGTCGGGCTGCTTCTGATGATGAATTCTTTTGCTCTATGCATACACACATCACACCTTGTTGTTCGCCATTTCTCCGCCCTGCCTGTTGAGGAAGAACTTACCTAAACATAAATTTATAGAATTTTGCAAGTGGATCAGAATTGATTTATAAAGTTAAGTTCAAAAATGTAGAAATAAAAAGCAGAATCAGCCTGGGACGAGGCCAGGGAACCCTGTTTTGGTTTCCTTGGTTTAATTTAGAGAATGTATTTCAATTTTCTGTCCCACAAAGGTTTGACACACAAATATTAATTTCTGAAGAACACAACACTCAACAGAACTCTCCACAGAATTTTGTCATTTTTGCAATGTGCACAATTCAAGGGTTTGATATAGCAAGTGAAGTTTGTTCTTTGGTAAATTTGGGAGCAGCGGAAATCAGAACTTGTTTTTCATTGTTCTTTCAGGTGTTTTTCCTTGGTGAGTTCCTTCCCTTTGAAAGTTGGAACTCTTATCAGATTTTGCAGTTCCATAATTTATAATAATTAAATTTTTGCATTGTTTGGTGCGCGCATGCACGTGCAGCAGCGGTTTCCCAACACTGCCTCCCCTTTTCAATTTTATTTTGCAAAGCACTAAATTAGTTTATGAATGATTTGATATATTTTTAATGACAAACTTTTCTTTCATAAATACTGCACTGTACAAACCAAATAAGGATTTGACAAATGAAAGATACCGTGAGACTGACCATGTTGAAGACATAATTGGTGCTTGGACCTTATTCCTGTTTTGGAATTGTCATGGGTCCACTGCTCAATCCAAGACAAAGGAATTGAATTGTGCAGCCATCAGAATTCAAGTTTTGAACAAGAACTCAAACTCTTTTCATTGGAGTTCATTCTCATTGCCCATTGTTGCATACCAAAGCAATTCAGCTCCAGCATCTGGTTGCAACCAGATTACCAGACCCAAAAACTTGTTGTATCTCTGAGGCCAGTTAGCCTTGCAAAAATCCTGTTTTTGCAAGACTCACTGAGCCTCACTCAAGGACAAGAAGTGGTTACCACTTCTTTGATTTTTCCTGAATTGGCCAATTCTGAGCCAAGAAGAAATCACCTGATTTCTTCCTGACCCAGTCCAAGCACCTGGGTGTAAAAGTCATCATTCCTCTTTGAGAGGAAAAGTGAGAACCTAGTGGTAAAGGGCCTTTTAACTTTAATTACCTCATTCAATATTCTGAGCTAACCAAACAATCTTACAATTGACTCTGCCATTACAACCATTGAATTAACAGCCAATTGATGAACTGGACAATGAGAATGAACTCCTCTGAAAAGAGTTTGAGTTCTTCTTCAAAACTTGCATTCTGATGGCTGCACAATTCAATTCCTTTGTCTGGGATCCAATGAACCCATGACACCCAGATCACCATTTGGCTGTTAATGAAATGCTTGGAATGGCAGAGTCAATTGTAAGTTAGCTCAGAAGAATGAATGAGATAATTTTAGTTAAAAGGCCTTTCAACACAAGATTCTCGCTTCTCCTCTGAAAGAGGAATGAAGACTTTTATACCCAGGTGCTTGGACTGGGTCGGGAAAAAATCAGGTGATTTCTTCCTGGCTCAGTCAGGATTGGTCAATTTAGGAAAAATCAAGGAAGTGATGACTACTTCTTGGCCTTGAGTGAGGCTCAGTGAGTCTGGCAAAAATGGGATTTTGGCAAAGCTCACTGGCCTCAAAATGCAATGAGTTTTCTCTGCAGGTTGCAACCAGATGCTGGAGCGGCGCTGCTTCAGAACATGACAGAAATTATGTCCACATGTCGAATAACGTTTTTCATCAGTGACTGAAAGGCCAGGTTGTGAACTGATGATACCACAGATGTGCATCTATATACGCATGAAAGAGGGCAAAAAAAAATGTACGCCTTATATAGAAAAAAATCTACCTTAGACATTCCTCTCAAATCAGGCAACTAAACTTTTTGCATTCACATAGCGAGAACTTTTCAGCAATATTCCGGTCTCTAAAAGGACGGATGCCTTTGTACAGCATACATACCCCATGAATTCCTTATCAGAATAGTTTCACTTCCAACTTGACAAGCATTTTCTGAGAAATCCCATTAGATGAAGCTCACACAAGAAGCCCTTGAGGTATAAATACGATGTGCTCAGCCAGAAAAGCTTCGCAGCAAAAACTGAGATAGTTCATAGGAAAAAGAAAAAAAACACAGAAGAATGGGGAAACGCTCTGAAAGGTCGGAAGTTTCGCTCCCCCCCCCCCCCCTCCAATATCTTTCAAAATGCGTCACAAGTCAAATAAAGTAAATGTTTGAGTTCTTATTCAAAACTTGCATTCTGATTGCTGCACAATTCAATTCCTTTGTCTGGGATCCAATGAACCCATGACACCCAGATCACCATTTGGCTGTTAATGAAATGCTTGGAATGGCAGAGTCAATTGTAAGATTAGTCAGTTAGCTCAGAAGAATGAATGAGATAATTTTAGTTAAAAGGCCTTTCAACACAAGATTCTCGCTTCTCCTCTAAAAGAGGAATGAAGACTTTTATACCCAGGTGCTTGGACTGGGTCAGGAAAAAATCAGGTGATTCCTTCCTGGCTAAGGATTGGCCAATTTAGGAAAAATCAAGGAAGTTATGACTATACCTCTTGGCCTTGAGTGAGGCTCAGTGAGTCTTGCAAAAATGGGATTTTGGCAAAGCTCACTGGCCTCAAAATGCAATGAGTTTTCTCTGCAGGTTGCAACCAGATGCTGGAGCGGCGCTGCTTCAGAACATGACAGAAATTATGTCCGCATGTTGAATCACGTTTTTCATCAGTGACTGAAAGGCCAGGTTGTGAACTGATGATACCACAGATGTGCATCTATATACGCATGAAAGAGGGCAAAAAAAAATGTACGCCTTATATAGAAAAAAAAATCTACCTTAGACATTCCTCTCAAATCAGGCAACTAAACTTTTTGCATTCACATAGCGAGAACTTTTCAGCAATATTCCGGTCTCTAAAAGGACGGATGCCTTTGCACAGCATACATACCCCATGAATTCCTTATCAGAATAGTTTCACTTCCAACTTGACAAGCATTTTCTGAGAAATCCCATTAGATGAAGTTCACACAAGAAGCCCTTGAGGTATAAACACGATGTGCTCAGCCAGAAAAGCTTCGCAGCAAAAACTGAGATAGTTCATAGGAAAAAGAAAAAAAACGCAGAAGAATGGGGAAACGCTCTGAAAGGTCGGAAGTTTCGCCCCCCCCCCCCCTCCAATATCTTTCAAAATGCGTCACAAGTCAAATAAAGTAAAAATGGTGGGCAAAGAAGTTTTTTCTGCTTCCCACTTCAGCAAAATAAAAAAAAGGGGAGGCTTCGACTTCCTCTGCTGCTGGGAGTGAATCCCAAAGTTTGACGTCATATAATGCGCATCTGGTACAGGGAATTTAATTTCAACCGGCTTACTTCGGTACATGCCTCGTTTGCAAATTTATTTCTGACTTTTTTTTTTCTCCTTTTCAATCGCGTACGTGGACATGAAAAATATCCTTTCAACCGGTTTTGATGGAAGACGTTTCAAAGAAATGTATCTGGGATAATGTCTTCTCGTCATCGGGTCAATTTGAGGAAAGAATTGAGATGGAACGAATTGAGATGGAACCATTCGGAAATGTTTGAAAACCCTTTTGAACATTTTAAAATATTCTCAAGATTTTTTGAAGCGCGTCTATTGTGACATTGGCGCAATACACCTAGAAGATCCCATGCATTTAACAAAAAAATATTGATTATAAAAATAATGCGGTTGGTGGTACACTGGTACAGTACCTCATTTTTTTTAAATCAATATTTAAAAGCTTGACTGTCAAGTAAGAGTCATTATAATACGTGAGACTATTCGATGAGGAAAGAAAGGCTACGTTGTTTTTTGCAATAATTCCATTCAATCAGTTTAATTCAAATATCTGCTCATACTTTTCTATAAACACTGATTTGAACTCACTTATAGCCTAGGCTTAAAAAGAGCTGAATTGCATTTTATCTCCAATAAGAATTCCATGACATGCTTTTCTTGGATTTGCTGCAAAAATGTGTAATACAGTTCTGCGTCAAAAAATTAAAAAAAATATTTTATAGTCGTCTGCCAATTCCATTTAAAAAAAAAACATTGTATAGGTGGTAGATGGATTTGTTTGCAGTTGATTCCTGGGTCTGAGGTCAGAAATAAAAAAGTGCGATGACTTTTTTTCTTTTTCTTTTTATGGCCAGCAGACAGAGATGCACAACTGCCCATGCTGCGGGTCTCACACCCAGGGTTTCTGTGGGGTTCCGCTGCAGTCTAACCCGAGACCTCGTGCCTGAAGGTTTTCGCGGGGTTCCGCATAGAGGGACAAGAAAACGAGCGAAATAATTGATGAAGGTATTATCGTGAAGGTTTTGAAGATTCATCGAGACATTATTTACCGGTGAAAACGGTGTTCTCGAAATGAAATTTTCGTACTCTGTGATGCTGTGCTTGGCTCAAAGCATGCTGGCCCTTTCGCAGGTCAGTGCTGAATATATTTCGACGCAAAAATAAAAACATATGCCAATAGAAAATGCGTTTAGACACAGCAGTTACCGAATTTTAAAAATAAATGCAAAATCGTGAAATGTAATTCTTACGAATGTGTTGCATTATTGGTAGTACTGTATTTATTTCTTTGATGTGGTAATTGTGACTGACTTTTCAGAACTGTTGATATGGCAGTAAAACAAAGAACTCACCGAACACAATGAGGCTTCGTAAAATAAGTAAGAAATGAAAAAATAAAAAGAAGTTTTGTGCTATTTTATACTTATTATAAATTAGCTTGATTTTTCCATCTCATGAAATCCCGTCTCACCATGTTTCAGCCAATAAATGACTTAACTTTCTCATTCGAAATTGCATTTTATACTCGTTATACTGTGTTTTTATTTGCTTTTGCAGGCAGTGGAGGAAAGTTCTTTGAGTGGCACTTCGACAAAAACGACAGACTATCCACATCACCCTCTGAAACTAACTGGTGAATCCATTTTTTCCTTCAAAACTGTCATTATATATGAAATATGTTTTAATTGACCTTGAAGGACTTGCATTCGGAATATAAATAATATAGACCTATAGAGAATAGACGAAGTTTAACTTTTTTCGCCATGGTGAAAATGTGGTCTGAACTTGGTTCTGATTTCTTGGGTCATGTTATTGAATTTTCTAGATTAAAATTCGGTATGCTTCTTTCAAGTCTTACTTATCAGAAGGATGAGAAAAAAACTATGTCACTATTACGCTCGAGATTGAAATCAAAATGTAAAAATATAGTTTCGAACTCAAAATAAATTTAAAAATGATATGATAACAAATTTCTAGATATTGTACGGGATCATCATATGCTACAGCAAAAAACATTATGAAATCTTTTTCTTGTGTGGAAAAAGTGTTACCGCATATATATACTCGTGCTCGAAGACCCGACATGAGGATAAATTCCATTTTTCTCAAATTTCTGCAAATTTGACTGGACTGAAACATTTGTTCAATTACAGTATTTTCCTTGAACACTTTCGGAATATTCCATCATACGTGATATTTGTGAATATTCCAAGAGGAAATTTCGCTGGAAAACACTGAAAAGTCTTGACAACTATACCGTCATTTTGTTTCTTGAGTGGCTTGTGTTACTCCGAAGCATTTTATTCATTCTTTACTTTTTTATTTTTCTTCAAAACACGATAAAATATGAATAATATTTAATCGTTGATTTTTCCATCTCATGAAATCCCGTCTCACCATGTTTCAGCCAATAAATGACTTAACTTTCTCATTCGAAATTGCATTTTATACTCGTTATAGTGTATTTTTATTTGCTTTTGCAGGCAGTGGAGGAAAGTTCTTTGAGTGGCACTTCGACAAAAACGACAGACTATCTACATCACCCTCTGAAACTAACTGGTGAATCCATTTTTTCCTTCAAAACTGTCATTATATATGAAATATGTTTTAAAAATTGACCTTGAATGACTTGAATTCGGGATATAAATAATATAGACCTATGGAGAATAGACGAAGTTTAACTTTTTTCGCAATGGTGATAATGTTGTCTGAACTTGGTTCTGTTTTCTTGGGTCATGTTACTGAATTTCATAGATTAAAATACGGTATGCTTCTTTCAAGTCTTACTTATCAGAAGGATGAGAAAAAAACTATGTCACTATTACGCTCGAGATTGAAATCAAAATGAAAAAATAATATAATAGTTTCGAACGAACTCAAAATAAATTAAAAAATGATATGATAACAAATTTCTAGATATTGTACGGGATCATCATATGCTACAGCAAAAAAACATCATGAATCTTTTTTTGTGGAAAAAGTGTTATACCGCATAGACAGTATATACTTGTGCTCGAATAAGACCCGACATGAATATAAATTCTTTTTTTTTAATTTCTGCAAATTTGACTGGACTGAAACATTTGTTCAATTACAGTATTTTCCTTGAACACTTTCGGAATATTCCATCATACGTGATATTTGTGAATATTCCAAGAGGAAATTTCGCTGGAAAACACACTTTTACTCCTCGAGAGACCGCGAAAAGTAGTTGGAAAATTTCCACAATTCACCGACAGACATCATGAAATTCCGTTCTCAGAGGAGCTGAAAGAAAATGTATACGACTCATCGTCTGGAATAGCTTCAGAAACTAATGGATTCGGAGATCCACTGCATTCCGGGAGGCATAACAAAAAGAAAATCAGACGGAGGAAAAGGCGAAAGAAGGTTGTACCATTCAACCCGACGCTTGATGACCCAGAAAGCAAGGTAAATTTTCCTCATGATGTCGTACGATTTATTGTATATGAGTCATCCTAGTTTTGCGTGTATATCTCTCAAACTGTGAAATTCATGAAACTCGAACAGTACGACCAAATCATTGAAAATTTGTTGCAAAATGTTATTCCATGCTGATCGTATGCAATCATGCTGAAAGTATGCGAAAGATATGAAGCACAGCAGATGTTTTATTTTTGAATTTATTCACTTCACGAGGAAGTGTCTCCATTCATTTCATCGAAACATTCGTGGTCCTAATCTACAAGGCCGTACCATTTCGGCGCACACTTTATCAACTTAGAGCGACACCTGTATCAACTTGCACTAAAACACCCGTAAAAGCATCTAATCGCAGCACTGACTGTCGCTTCAGCATATCGTACCCCAGTTATTTCCAACGCATTTTCATTCCCATACTGAAGACGTTTTATATCGTGCAATCTCCGGTAACTTCAATGAGAATAAAACATATTCTGTTGTTTCTTTTCAGCGACAAGAAGAATTTTCGCCGGAACTGCTGGCAGCTTGGGACCAATTGCGGCGTGAACTGGCACTGAATTCTGGATGAAAATAATTATGCAATGCGGAAGTCAATTAAGCAGAATGCGGGATGAGATTTTTAAAATTCGTCGGAATCTCCTCCCTTCGTCTTATCCTCTTAATTTTTCAGAAATTTTCCACCACCATAAAGGAAACGCCATTAATTTCCCCGAATAATGTGGACCTGAAGGAGAAGTTGCAAAAAAGTTGAGGGAAATTTTATTCCCGCGAATAGAGTCGGAATGCTTCTTGCGTTGTGTGTATGTCTGTGTCAAAGAAAATGCTCTGTACGCAGATTCTTTTGAAACATTAAAAGCTTTCAACAGAAGTTCTCTTTCATTACAAAATGAAACTGTCCCTTCTCATCCATTCTAATCCTTTTTAGGAATATATTTTTTAAATAAGTTCGCGAGGCTCCGAGATGTGCCAGTACTCTGATAATTGGTGAAGTACTGTATGTGAATACCGTATATCGTATAATTGAATCATTTTCTATGTTTGTATCCAAATTTTCATTTTTAAATTGATTCAATTATCCGCAGGATGAAGGAACAGTTAGTCTCAAAATATATTTGAGTGGATGACCTCCTCTTTTTTTCTTCAATCATACGTCTCTGAAGAAATTGGTCCAGTTTTGGAATCTCGTCTGCTGTTATTTGTAAAAATCTGTATAAGGTCCAAGCGAGATTGAAACAAAGTGATCATTCAGTGGAAAAAACAGACTTCATTGAAAAATTCTTCTGTATTTCAAAGTTTACATCAATAAGTTCCAAAATTTGTTTACACTGAACGTTTCGATCCGTTCGAATCAATTTACAGTAAAGAATAGTTCATCACTTCAGCACAAGGCTGAAAATATGGTCACTTAAAATGTCCTTTATTCATTTTTTTTTATTTGAACAGGGTACAGACGTCGATTTGAAGTGCGCTGGGATGAAATAAACTGAAATTATAGCGGATCATTTCAAGCATTTAATTGTAAACAGGGTGCCTCTAAATGTTCAGGGAATAATTCAAACCGACAGAAATTGAAAAAGTTGAAAAAGTATATTCTTTATAAAACGGAAATTCGTGAAGTCTCAGCTGAAACTTCTACGTTTATGAATAAATCTAGTATAATTACAAGAAATGACTTTTCCCCAGTTTTGTGGGTTTTTCTAATTTAGTAATGGGAAACAAGATTTTTTACTTGCATTTTTACGGTATTTCTTCTGCCAGAAATGTGTTGTTCTGCTGCTCACAAAGTTTTTCTCGGTTTGTTTAAATTGATTTGTTCAGAAAAACTACAATTTGAAGAAATTATCTTCTTTAGAATATGACACGATTTTTCATTGAATCTATATTCCATTGATGAGACGAAATATTTTTTGCTAATCTGAACGTCATCTTGATAAAGCAAACAGTATACATAAAATTGATCGAAATCCCAAATTTTCGTATAAAAAAATACCGAGGTTTTTCGCGCCCATGATGAAAAACATTGTTTGGACCTTGTGAAGGCTGAAAAATGGAAGATGAAAGTGAATTTATCTTATCTATATGGATGTGTCATGAAGCTGAATCACATGCAGATGATAAAAATTAAGCAACAAAAAATGGGAAACAAGGTTGGGTTTTCTGAAGCTTTTATGCAAGCATGCCAGTTGCATTATATGAGTACAAAAGTTTACGGAACCTCAGCATTGATGAATTGACTAAACCTGTGCCATCACAATGAACCCGCATCAGTGGAAAAACTGTTTGGTAAACAAACTCTTATCCCAAAAATAAAATCCCGCAGTAAAAAGACCTAACTTTGGTTGACAAACTTTTGCTCTCAAGAAAAAAATCAGAAATTTATCAATTCAAGATGTGGTTATGACCTTGAACTGTAAATGGCCAGTGGATTGCAGTCCCAACGAACAAGTCCAGGTAAAAGTTTAATATAGGCAGACTGAAGGATTACACAAAATTCATAAAGTTTTCCTGAAAAATATTTTGTTCCATTTTCAATTGCACTTTGGGTGCTAAGAACAGATTAATTGATTCTCTACTGGGGTCTATAGGAAAATCAAATTACATTGACAAACTTTTGCCATGAACCAATCAAGTTTTTTAACTGAGGCTCCACTGTAAATAAATGGGATCCATGGTTTCTGGTCCTACAGGTTTTTTTTTTTTTTGGCAGAAAAGAGGCCCAATTGAAAAGTGTTTTGAGTCTTGGGTATGAATGAGGAGTGAATTTCTCTGTTCAATGATATAATTGATGATGTGGTGCATTTCATGTATCCTGCACACACAGTTGAGAATTTTGCAGAAAATGTTTTCGTCCCTGCAGGATACAGTACATGAGTTGATTTCTAATTTTTCTGAAAAAAATGCAGATTTTACCTGATTTGAACCCATTCTTTGTTGAAACGGAGGTTTATTTTTAGAATTAGGTATAATCATTGTAATGATTGACTATTTGTACATTGAAGTTGGCTGTTTCTTATTAGAGAATTAAAGGATTTGTTCCGATTTTTTGAATACTTTGTTATTGTTTTTTAAAACCAATAATAAGCCAACTGTGTAGAAAATCCAGAAGTGTTGCTCCGGTGGTACTTTCCTGTTATCACAGTACCTACTTTCCGTGCACCTACCAGGAATTGTGAATTTCTTTTTTCCACATTCTGCTGAAACTCATTTTGGGAGGCAGTTAGGTAAGGTCAGGTTATGTTATTTACAAAAATCTTTCAATCAACATAACCTGACCTAACCTAACTTTACGTAACCTCCTCCCAAAATCAGTTTCAGCAGAAACCCAAAGAAAGCAGAAACTTATTTTGGGAGGTGGTTAGGTAAAGTTAGGTTAGGTCAGGTTATGTTAGT